TGAAGTATCACCTCCACAGTTTTAGACAACAGTGACACCCCTCTTGAATCTTGTATATAAGCAGAACATCCATGCTTAAGACAACAAAAGCAGAGCAGATGCTAGAAATTCTCCTCTTACTTCTCAGGGGAAGTGGCAGGCTGGGATGGTGCTAAAGGTACTTTACAATTAAAGCATCTGTACCATCACATCCATACAAATGCAGGGTTTATATGAGCTACAGGTCATGTAGGATGAGTACTGGACTTAGGCTTTGGTGCCACTGTACTGCTTAACATAGACCTCAGTGTGTCCCAACCTGCAGAAGACACTGGTTAATCATGTTATGGCTGACATCAGGTACTTCAGTCAATGGGCCCCTTCCCAGAAGGCAGTGACCTTGTTTGCCATAAAGTGCTGTATATTTCGAATGAAGCGGGGCTACATACATCTTATATTGTCACAATGAGTGCGCAAAGCTTAGGGCAAGGAACACACCTTGGGTTAGCTGTACTTCAAGCAGCATTTCTAAGACTGAAAAAGTCTGGCATGCTTAGTTTGACAAAACAAAGGCTATTTTCCTTTATAAAGGACAATACTTAAATGTAAAGAGAGAGCTGAGACTGGCCAGACCTTTTAGCCTACCAATAAATCTTAGAGGACCTTCAGTGACCAGAAAAGAGAAATTTGACTTAACTGTCATCTAGAAAATAGTCAGAGCAAAAGTCATGTCTTTGTCACAGCACACGGTCCTTCTCACAGCTTGTCTGCTCTCATTTTGCAGCTGTTAAAATGTCCTTGTGTAGTTGTCAGTGATTGTACAGAGAAATAATTACAGTCCTGTTAAAGTCCCTCAACACTAGACTATCATTTAAAAAATCAATTACTCCAAGGAAAAGCTTGTGGCTGTCCTAAAAAACACAATATGAGGAGCATGCCATGTCAGCCAGGCAGAATTTGCACAGCCCTGGTTTCCCTTGCTGTCACTCAGTGGCCTGGCATGAAGTTCCTTAGGCTGCTCTTTGATTCTTTGCCATTCTACTTGCTACCTTTTCAGCAAAGTCTATGAGAATGAGTCAACATCACTGATTATTGGGCTTGCTAATATCCTTGTGAAGAAGGTCCACCACTGAAGATGGTGCCTCCAGTATGTTTGTAATTTGCCATGTGGCAAACACAGCTCCATTGTGTTAGTACTTACAACAGCTTTAAGGTCACTCTTGAGCCAGTGTCTAACTGTTTGGTCTCCAAAGCAGTTCAGCTGTACGTGATTCCTACCTGCAGTGTTTGGAGCTTATCTGTGCCTGGTAGATCATGAGCAGCAAATCCATCAGCTTTATGCCCCAAATCCTGGCCCTCTGACCTCTCTTTTCTTTTCTCCAGCATCCCTAAGACAAGCCCAAAGAAAAGCAAGGCACAGACTGCTGAGCAGGATGGCTCTGCTTCAAAGGCAGCAAGGGAAAGCAGGGTAGTTGTCAGTGCTCTTCAAAGACACCATCATTCCTCCTCATGGTCCTCTTTCCCATCTCTTCCATTGCCCACACTGATTCTCTGAAGGCCTGGGTGCTCTAAATCAAACCAAGGAAATATTCTGGCAAATAAAAAAGATTTAAAAAGATGACGGTGTTTTTTTGCTAGTTACTATTCTAACCCCAGCTCATTTTTCTGATCCAGTTTATGGCATGGCTCTCATACATTACTGCTGTGAAGGAGTTGGGGTCAGACCTATATCAAGTAAATTTGCCAGTGGGCAAATATTCATGTAACTGTACCTTGAAGTTGTCTAAGCAATTAACATAATTAAGATAAATTCAGAGCAGTAGTTCCCTACCTGCAAAGAGCTTAACTTCTTTCTTTTTTTCCTTTTCTAATCCTAAGAAAAGACATACTCTGCAAAAAAGCTTGTATCTTTTTCCCAATTACACTGCTTAGTTTAATAAAATATTCTCCTTCTCAGTAGAAAAGTGACAGAATTATGAAAACATCCCAGGAATCCTAATCTTTAGAAAAATCTTTAAGCTTGTTTCAGATCTTTGTACTTAATTATTCTATGGTCTTTGTAAGAAATTACTGTAACAGAACTCTGCAAGAAATCTTACAGAAAGAAACGTGATTTTTTGCAGTAGAAAAATCTGTAAGCAATTCACTTGTACACACTCCTTATCAGTCTCCCATAGGTTTCATTCACATACTTTCATCTGACCTGTATACTCATGAGTACCAAGACACATGCGCCCAAGCAGTCTTGGACCGCTCATATGCAACGTGGAGAACAAAATGACATCAGCCACTGAGGCCTCAATGTGTGTCTTGGGTTTTGGACTTGGCCTTTTGTACCTTTTAGGACTGGATGCTGTTTTGGATTGCTAGCCTTGTGATATTGACTCACGCCTTGCAAATGTAAGGCAAAATTCCTGAATTTCACAACTTTTATTTTCCTTGCCTGATAAGCTCTAGTCCTGTTCTTCATCCACTTGACAACTGTATCTTGAGCTCATTTTGTTCCTCCTTTCCATTAGAATGAAATGACAGATACTGAGCTCTGTAGTGATTAACACATGCCTCGCCTTTTAACCTTTGTTCTGCTGCTTCCTATAGTGCTTTTGCACACATTTCCATTCTTACTCCATTCATACCAATCTTTCTATTAAAAATTTCTGCAGTGCTAGTGAGGTCACTCCTAACTTCAGATATGAGAGTGGACCACTCATTACACTCTCACCATGAATACAAAATTCATGGGGCAAGAATGGAGCAGAAAGCCACTGGTGTGGTTTTTTTTTTGTTCAAGAATTATAAAAATATGGAACATGAGTGAAATACAAAGAAGAATCCCATGCCTTTGATCTCACATAACACGTTATTTGATTTTAACATGGGTACAGCTATTCAGATAATTTTCCCTTGGTTAATACCGTGAGTGCTATTGTAATCACTTGTAAGTGCACCCACATCTTCTGTATGGGATCTTCCAGGTCAGCCACACCGCAGCCCTGCTCAGCTCTAGAGAAGGAAGATCACTGCTGATGCACTTCTCCTGCACTCCCTGGTTCAACTCTCTTCTGCATGACGTGCAAGCATGAGTCTCAAACAGCTCATCTTAATCTGACAAAAATGCTTTCTTCTGACAGCAGGCTCATAAGCAAATAACAAAATGTCATTGACAAAATTATTATGGTGGGAGGACAGAATGGATCTCCACAGTAACAAGTAAGTGGGGCTAATGCCACCCCTTGCAGCATCACAGGCAGCCAACCAAAGTTTCTTTTACTTTCTCAGAGCAGAATGCACAGAGAATCTCATTCACTGCTCAGCCCTGGGAGGTGGAAAGCCAGCAAGTGCTTCTTGTGGCTCCTTATTGCCTACCTGGAATGGGTAGTCAGATATTTTCACAGCTATGAGCAGCGCCTGATGTTCCTTAAAATTGTTTTAAAGGAAGTAGCAGAACATAATAGTTCCCTCCGAGAGCAATCTATTCATCCTCAATAGAACAAGCAGACTCAGATCCCCTGTGAGGTACACTTTGTATTTAGTATTAATTTTAAATAATTCTGTGTTTCGTTTTGGAAGTGAAGCATATTGAGCGGTGAGGAGGTGGCCAGGGAGCTTTTCCTATTTTCCTAACCACATATTTTATTACCATCAACATTTTGACAATTGCAGATATACTATGCTTCAGTAGCATCGAATACCACTAACTATTAATTCCCTGAAATTCGTGCAACATGAACAGGCCAAAGTTTCAACCCTTAGTTTAGCTGAGGTTAGAAATTTGCTCTTTCAGCGCTGTTTAAATGTATTCATCTCCAAGTGAGATCTTCAGCTCGTATAAAACAGAGTAGCTTTAATGATTTCAGGGCATCTGTGCCATTTCCCCCCCTTCAGTATCTTGGCCTACTGTCTTGTCTTGTTAGCTTTCGCTCAAGACTCCTGCATCTACAAATGTTTCTTGCAATTCCCATGACAAAGCTGAGAAATACATGCATGCATTTAGGAGGAAACATATCCCTGGTATGCACAGTTCTCCACTCTGAACAGCACAACCAACCTCCAGGTGGATATTCTGATCCTAACACATACAAACAATTTCCATAAATGTCACTGCTAGGTGCCTGACTCATCCCTCAGGCACAAAGCAGCCCTTCCAACATAAAGCCAGGATGACGCTAAAGATCAGCACAATTTTTCTACTAAGTACTTTTCTTTGTGCTTTTCTGTCATTACACATGAAAGAAAGTTGCTGCCTTGAGACTTGATTCTCCATCACTTTGGTAGATACCTACTGGGGCTAATTCATGGGAAGTCAGGGCATTATATGTCTTGAAAGGAGGGTGTGCTCAGGTCTTCTTATGCTTCTGGCTTTAATGGAGAATATGTGATGTAAAATGATTAACAGTAGGTTGTGAGCTCTTAATATAACTCACATCTGCAGTTTATGGCTTCTGCCCTGCAATACATTACTTCTTCCATTTCCATGCAGTTTTCTAGCTAGGGAAGCCAGATGAAGAAGTGACTTACATTCCTTTCAACATCAGCTTTGCACAGTGAAATCAAGTCTGCTGCTCTGCAGAATTGTTTTCTGATACACAGCTACCAGAAGAGATCTGAACAGTAAAACTTACAAGTGACCACTGAACTCAATGATGATACTCCTATAAAATGTTTGATATTCTTAATCCATATTTGAAGCAGCAATGTCCTAAAAGGCCAAGAAGACAGTAAAAAAAAAAAAATGGTTTTTTTTATGTGGTGTTTCTACATTAATAACAGCCAGGTTTATTTTGTAGGCAGTGATTATCACCTTAATAGTTGTCTGATTTCCTTATGGCCATTTTATAACTGTCAGTTTTGTGACTGGTATTAGGGTACTGTTTCTGGAAGTTAGAGTATCTGATGTCCACTCCTTCACATTACTGTGGGTGCAGCTGATCATTCTAATGAGGAAAGTAGTGCTCTTAAAGATGGACTCATCTACGTCTCTTTTATGCCAATTTTCTGATGATAGAAGTGTAGATGCTTACTTTGGTTTTCTGCTTCTGTTTTTGTCAAATAGTACTTCACGAACCCACTGGTGAATTTCTGCCTAATTTGACAGCAAGGTTGATATGTCAAAGCTATAAAGTGTTTCACAACTTCATGGGCATTGATGGCTGGATTAATGAGGGTCACCATTTAGTAATGTCCACTCTCAGGGTACAAGATGAAGAAGTCACATGTGACCCCTTCTGCCTGGAATCAACCGACCCAACAGTGCACGGCACCTCCAACATCATCACAGCAGCTACTGAGTTTTTACTCACCTCTACTCATCCAGGAACAGGTAAAATTGAAGAAGTGTATGAGGCGAATGAAGTGGAGAGTGGAAGAATTGCAGATGGGTTTGGGAATTCTGAAGCAGGGACAGAAAGAAGAAATGGGAGACAAAAGTGCAGTAAGCATGGTGAGAAAATAGAAGTATTGTAGGGGCTGGCTGGAAGCTGGAAAGATAAGAACAATGACTTCTACTATGCTCGGTCTGATAAAGGATTTGGGGGAGATTGAGGTTATTGTTGGGGAAGGGCGCATATAAAATGAAGCTGGACACCTTATTCCAGCCTTATTCACGCTGCTAATCTGATTCTTCTCAAGTCTGCCTTCCCAGGAAGCAAAGGTTGATAATGTGTGGAACAAATCCTGAAAACTTCCTTTCTCAAAGAACCAATCTCTCTGAAGCATTGTCTTTCCTTTTTAAAGCGGTAATTTGGCTGCTATGGATGTCTAGCTTACTCAGGTTAGCTACCATGGCTTGTCCAGGAATGCTGACTTTCACTAAATCTTGGTACTCTAGTGCTTCATTGGATTTTGTGCTTGCCAGTCAATAAAGCAGTAATTTATCATCTGTTATTGTTAACACATATCAATACACCAAGAAGCAAGAGTGGAAATATTTTCAAGAGAAAAGAGAGAGTGTATTGTGGAAGTATAATGCAAAATTACAGCCAGGCTAATCCTTACTTGTAAGATTCTCCAAGGAAGCTCTCTGCATAAAACTAGCAATTTATGCAAGCATGAGGTGTTCCCAGTGTAACACATCAGAAGCTTTTTAGGTATTCTGAGTGATGGGGTTACAGTACCATTTTAAAAAATGGATGCATGTCATATTTTTTTTAGATACTGTTGACTTAGGAAATAAAAAACTTCCCAGAAAAGGTTCTGAACTAGAAAGGCTCAGAAGATTATTAGAAAGATTTAGAAGAAATAGACGGTGTCTGGAAAAGCATAATGAGTAAACAGAAAACAGAAATAATAATTTAGACTAACTATAATCACACAATTATTAGATGTCTATAGTGCCCTTTTAGTAATACGATCACTGTTCCTGAATAAATTTGTTTCTCCCAAACAACCTCCTAATATTCTGTCATATAGTTAGAAGTTTAGTTTCTTCAGGATCTCATACTTGTGAATCTGTTCATTGGTAGTAGAGGAACAAAAATAGAGCTTATAGAAACACACTGAAAGAGGAGGAGTAAAATTTAGACTAACTATAATCACACAATTATTAGATGTCTATAGTGCCCTTTTAGTAATACGATCACTGTTCCTGAATAAATTTGTTTCTCCCAAACAACCTCCTAATATTCTGTCATATAGTTAGAAGTTTAGTTTCTTCAGGATCTCATACTTGGGAATCTGTTCATTGGTAGTAGAGGAACAAAAATAGAGCTTATAGAAACATACTGAAAGAGGAGGAGTAAAGGACAGCTACAGAAAGTGATTCCTCACCAGTGGTATAAAAACGGACTGGCTGAACCTGCTAGCAGGCAATAACCTAGAGCTAGTTTCTCATAGCTAGACCTTTAAATTATTCTCATCCAAAATTGATTCAAATAAATAAAATTTGAAGGAAACATGCCCACAAGAAACACACCCCTTATTTCTCAGGGGTCTCTGTGGAATGTTTATTTGCCAGTGCTCTTTGGGAGTTTTGAGGCAAAGCTGGAATGATCCCAGCTCATTCCCTTCAGCCTGGGAAAAAAAACTAATCCAGAGTTGCCTTCCTAGAACTGTCTCCCCCAATAATAAATGAAGGATTTGGCCATCTGTGAGTTTATCTCAATTTTCCCGACAGGCTGAGAAAACAGAGAGGGTTCTCAGCCCTGATCTGCTGCACTTGGGACCAGACTAAAGAAAACCATACTTTTGGGGGTTTTCCAAGCTTCAGCTGTTTTCTGCGTGCACCTCCACTCTCCCAGGGTCTGCCTTTGCCATTCCCCAGAGTTCTGCTGACCTCAGAGCCCCCGGATCTGGCCCTATCTGATCTTAGGGGGCTTGCTAGCCTGACATCAGGTAAAATTTTAGTCTGGTGAGACTCACTGAGACTGCTAGATCTTGTTTCTGTGGGAGCCATGGCGTTCATTTTCTAACTGCTTTGTTAATATTATTCTCTTTATCCTCAATTAAAAAGAGAAGAACTGGATACACCAGTTAATACTGAAGCAGAGAAGAGGAAAAAAAAGTGTTCATTGCAGATAGCTGTTGAGCACTGTGTAAATACTATTTTGCATGTTAAAGTGGGACTTTGGTGGAATAAAAACTTTGTGCTGCTGCTCAGCATCAGGGAAGTTCATCCAGAGAGCTCCACTTCTCCGTCACCTGCACGCACAGCTCAAAGTGTCTTGGGAGTGGTAAGAAATGTCTTCTGGATGAAAGGAAAAATATTTGTTGCATGGCATTAGGAAAATAATCTCTCCATCTGTGCAGTCTCTGTTGTGTACATAAGTCAAATGGACCTGCGCAGTGCCAAAGCTGGAACAGAAGCTTAAAGCTGCCTGATGCTGCTGCTGGACCTAATTCCCCTCCTGATTTTGCACAGGTGGAAAGCTGGCCTCAGCTCAGTTCAGTTTGAGGTTTGTGTACTGCCGAGCTTCCTTGCTCACTTCTCTTTTCTCAGCTCCATCTGACTTATTTTTGCTCCATCAAGAAAAAGCTTTCTTTGTTACAGGTATTCTGAGTAACAGTCTCCAAACACTCACCTTATATGTGTCCTGCAGTAAGTGTTTAGGAAGCTGTGCTTAAACTCCTTCAATGGCATGTAATATTAAGCCTGCGTTTTTTAAGAGTTTCTATATGCAGGTTTTCCCTTTCCATTTCTTCCTGGTTTGCCTCTGAGCTTGATCCAGAAAGGCTCAGAAACAGATGAGCCACTCAGCTTCTGCATTTACTATTTATCATGGGACCCCTTAGAGTATGCAAAGAGAGGATTTATCACCGATCTTCCTCATAAGTTTTTCAGCACTCTGAAAATCAAACACTTTTGAGACTTAGTTTCCTCACTTAGACAGGAGAATTAAAAAAACCCAAAACACGGATGTTCTTCTAAACTAGAATTCACATTCAATGTAATGAATACATGTTGTGCTGGCATTATGCCATTTTAACAGGTGGGATGAAAGTACTTCACTGCTCAGGCAGGCCATTGTGAAAAGTCTGATTCCCAGCCAGGGACACAGGAAAGTTGGTCTTAAAGGCTGTGTGCCTATATTTACTGATGGATAGGAAATGAGAACCTCCAATAAACTATCTTTGATTTTGGGTTACTTTTCATATTTCTAGTCACGTCAGGCATGTTTGAGGAGTGTTCATTCCAATGAAATGTCCCACTTACATTGACCTGCATTATTTTGCAAATAAATTACAACAGTTCAGGGTACCTGGTTGAGTGCGTTAACAAGTCTTCTCAGCCCACCTGAATTTCTGCTAGCTGCCTAGCTGGTCTGCAGGTCATCTATGGGTAGTCTGTGACACATCTTGTAAAAGAACAGTAATGGGAACTGGGCAGATACTGAATATTAAAGAAGTTTGTGGAGCATTAGGGGAATTTTGCTTCTCAAACACAGAGGGAAAAAAAATCTATAAAGCTCCTTTTTCTAAGTACGCTGGCTCTGGTATTCAGTATTGAAATCTGATAGAGACCTTCAGAAAATGCATCATGTGAGTAAGTGAAATAAGGCTTCTTCCTGGTCCCATCTCCTGCCCAAAGACACATTTGCAAAAAGTGAGCTACAGAGCTGCTGGAAGAAAAGAAAGGGACCAAGTCTCTAACACGAAAGTTAGTAAACACTCTTTGTTAGGACAAAACTGTGAGCCCTGTGTTATTTTTCTTGTGAAGATTTATGAGGAGAGCTTTAATATATAATAAATATTAATCTTTTTGCTAAAAGATATTGAAAATATTAAATATATTTGCACAGTAAAAGAAATAATGACAAGCCACCAATCATCTATCCATCTTGACTGCCCATATATCTGTAGCTCTTGCTTTTACCTTGCCTTTGGTGAAAACATGTCTTCCTGTATGAGCATTATTTCAAGTGACAGGGAATTACTATAATTCCAAAAATAATTTATTATCTTCCAGGAACAAAGGTCATTTTGATTTTGAACAAATAAATGTCAAATAGCGGATGATATACACGATAATAATGCATGGGCAGCCAGCCAGGAGCAGATAGCTGTAATTAAATTCAAGTTCAGGATGACACAGAGAGCCAAGAGACAAAAATCTGAATGTTTTTAGGCAAGTTATCAGAGTCTGTTTTACTGCAGGATGTTCTGTTATTTGATCTCCTAATCCTGCCTGTGCCCTGCGCTGATCTCATAAAACACAGAAAACTGACAGGAAGAGGGGTCCTATAGAAGTCCCTCTAAAGGGAAAGGGGAATCAGGGAACACAAGCAAACATGAGGGTTGAAATATAATTAGATTTAATAGACTAAGACTAAATAATTAACAATAATACTAAAGAACCAGTATTAATCCCAATGATAGTATAAGATATTCAAGAATTACACTCAGCCAGTTGTATCAGTAGGAAGCTCCCAGCAGTGGACAACAAATGTTGGACACTGCGAGCGTAACAGCTTCAGGAGGAAGGGAAGGCCTCAGGGTTCCAGCACCCTGGGGCAAGGTGTTGTCTGTTCCACCACCATCAAGAGAGAGACAACTATGCAGCCAACATTTCTAATTTATATTGAAAGTGACATTGATGGTATGAAATAATCCTGTTGACCAGCCTGGGTCAAATGCCCGGGTCTCGCTCCTCCTCATCCCTGCACCTCGCAAGGCTCGAAAACACTGAGACGTTGAATCCCACATAGACTAGCTGGCTACAGAGTAAATATTTTCACAAA